AAAGGATAGGAATTAGAGATAAAAAAATAAAAGGATAAGGAAAGGAGACCCCCAGCGCAAACGAAAAAGTAATCTGTAGTTAAAAGGAATGTCTTGTAACAGACGGACTTCGACCAAGGCGATATCAAACTCTGGCAACTCGGGTTACCTTTACTGATTTGGTGGTCAGAGGGCTAAGGTATATATCGCCCCGTCGGAGCCACTACAGTAGCTCGCCGCGGTAGATCCTAGATCTAATCTAATGTCAGCAAAATTAATGCCAACTAATTAACTAAATTAAATAAAACAATTAAAAATTAAAACTGTGCACTTATTCACACGTGTGACCCCCAACCCGGACTACTTTGTCATACCTTATTGATTTTCTTTCGTTCCACCCCCATGTAGAGCCCATTATTGCACTACACTTGCGTCCTGTGACTAGAATGTGTTGGTAATGCAACGACGACAATCTTATTCTGCCGCAACAAATTTAAACACCGGGAGGTCTTGTGCACACCATATGCGTCCAGTGTTAACAAAATGTTGCGATATTTTCTTCTCAGTACTGCAGTCCGTGAGATGAATCATTCATAGAATTGGTAAAACCCATCACTGTCCATGCCAGCCGGGTCTCGAGAAATAATACTCGCATTCTCGGGAAGGTAACAAGCAGGGGTCTCGAGTATGCCATCAGGCCGAATGAGATATTTCGCACGCTTTCCAGGTGCGATAGCAACAGGATCCCACGCGCGACCGTCTGCAGACACAATAAGCATGAGTGTTACATGGTCGGCATTGGCAGACCACTTCAATTCTGTTGAATTGCTCCTACCCTTGGCCTCCATGACATCTTTTGCACACGCACGGTAGGCTGTTCTGGTCGAAAAGCCCGTCTCGTCAAGGTTGAATATCTGCTCTCCACTCTTGATTTCGTACTCATCGTAGGCGTGCCTCAAGCGCGCGTAATGTTTGGCAATGTTCTCGGGGCACATCGCAATGGCATTGTCCTTTTTGATATTGCAGCGTCGTTTGGTCGAGAGCGTGGGGTTTCGCCTGAAGAACCCCGATAAGAAATTATCCCCGGGACGGAGGTTAACAAAAGGGATTGTTGCACGTCGCTCCTCTGGCAAGCGTTCGCGAAAGTGCTGCACGAGGTTCTTGAGTCCTTCCCGAGGTAAAGGTGTGCCATTGCGTGCGAATTCTATGCCAGAGTCCGTGATGAGAACTGCTTCTGCCCGGCGCAATGTGGTGATATGCCCGGGGAATTTTGGGATCCTGTCTGGCGCATTGAGGTATACCTTGAATGTGGACCAAGTTATGTCAAACAGGCGAGCCGCAGCACGCACAGAGCCCTTTTGTTGATGACGTATCGACGGGCGTTGTCCAACCGAAGGTCCTTGTCAGTCTTTGGGAGGCGTCGGAAAGGCATAGAGTGCACCATCGGGATCGGGGGTGATTGCGTGTGAGAGTAGCAGATGGCCTAGTTCGGAGCTGAGGAGGGTACTTCATGGGGAAATTCATGGGTGCTGATGGCTCAAGTGTTGTCGATTTAGGCGCGGAAATTTGGTGTGGACAAAGAGAGGGGGGAATTTGAATACGCATTTCGAGTGACTGTAAACCATGGCCCCTAGTAAACCTAATGCATGCTCATCGGAGGTACTGCGGAGGCTCTACGGACCACACGTATGCAGAACAGAGTGTCTCCGGATGGCCACTGGAGTCAGTTTGGCAAAGTTTTCAAAATCGTGACAATAAGCGTACAGTATCCGGAGGGTTTCCGGAGGACATTTGATAGCAGTTCGCATTGTGTTTAAGGAACGTAGTACCACCGGAGGGTACTCGTAGTTCAGATCATTTAAATTCATATACGGCTCTGGGAGTCCTGGAATGTAGGATACTCCAATAAACGACCACAATCATCCTGAGCCCACTTGCAGAGGCTGACGTGATCGCGACTTGGATTTTTTGCTGGTTTCCAAGGGGCGAGGATTTCCGAAGTGAGATCAGGTCCTCCAGTAGCCCGTGCTCAGACTTTTTGTTCTGCTCTACTGCTGCAGCCCATACTGAAGGCGTTGCGTTGTTGGCTTGCAGCTTAACGTCGAATGCTGTATTCGTCTTGACCACTGCAACGGCAATCCCGGACGCCATACTAGAAGTGGCACGTGGGGCAACAGACGTCTCGAGGCGGACCCTGTGGTGCATAGCTCGCGAGATTTGCGATGCAACATACTCCCAGGATCGCTTTCGCGTGAAAATGAGCGAGGAAGACTATTCGATTTATTCTCTCCACGAGAAAGTCCTTCGCCGGCAGAGGCTGCAACAGCTTTGGAAACTACGCGCTCGGTCTCGCTCCCCTTCCCTGCTTCGCAAGCAGCCGCGCCACGTCGCCGTCCCTGACCAGCTTTCGGATGTGCGCCAGCTCCACGACAGAGCCCGCCTTCTCCACGGCCGCGCGCACGCCTTCGTGCTGCTCCTGCGACAGCCCTCCCGCGCCCTTTTCCTCGCCGCTCTCGCGCGCGCCGCCGCTGGCCTTCTCCCTGGGCGCGCCGCCGCCGCTCGCCCGCACGTGCCCAAAATCCAGCAGCTCCAGCTGCAGCAGCTGCTCGGCCACGCGCGCGCGCAGCCCAGGCGCAGCGCAACCCCCCGTTGTCGCGCACTCACAGCCGCCGCAGCCGCCGCAGCTCCACCAGGTTGAGGTCGGCCATCGTCGCGATCCGGTTCCCCGTCAGCACCATCGTGCGCAGGTTTGGCAGCGACTGCGCGAGCCGGCCAGTGATCCGCACGATCTGGTTCCCGCCCAGGTGCATCGTCGTTACACGCGGGAACGGCGGGAACGTGTCCTCCACCGTCGTGATCACGTTGTTGGATAGGTCCAGCGTGCCGAACCCGTCGGGCGCCCTCGCGAGGTTCTCGATCGCAGGGACCGACAGGTTCTGTAGCACCAGCGTCCAGTCCCCCACGCATATCAGCACCGCCGTAGACTGCTGCACCAGTTCGGAGGTCAGACGCATACCGACCGCGCGAGCGTGCACGTTCACCGAGCGGCGGACGGAGAGGAGGAGGAGGTGAAGGGGAAAATGTGGCGCGACGAGGGCGGGGGTGTGCTACGAGAAAGGCGTACGAAGGTGCGGGGTGTGGGGGCGGCTGACGGCGTTGAGACCAATTATTAGAGAGTTTATGCAGATGATTTTTTTGTGCTTCCCGAAACAAATTTCGGTACACGTATGTCACGTTTGCGATTGCAACGAAAAAACAGAAATATTCAGGAAATGCGTTTTCGTAACGTGCATGAAGTGCAAATCGTCTCCTGCCCTCATCTTCATCACCTCCCGTTTTCTTCTCACCATCCCCGCCCGCTATTGGCTTTCCCTTCTCTCTACCACTGCTCTTTCATGGCATCCATCCTCGTCTCGGCGTCTCCCATAATATCGAAAGACCCCTTCCCGTCCCTTTCGCGCCTCACCATCCCCTCTACGAACAATTCAAACTCGTCTCCAATTTCTACTTCCTTGTCATTGCCGTTATCTCCTTCATTCCTAACATCTCCCCAAGCACCCCATTTGCAAGCGTCCTCCCCCTTTTCGTCGTTGTCGGCTTCGGTTTTGCGAGAGACATCTTCGAGGACATCAAGCGCGCAAACGATGATCGTCGCCAAAACAGCGAAGGAAGGCTTATCATGGCCCGCGTCCCGGAAAGCATCCAGACGAAGAAGCAGCCCTCCTTGGTCACATCAGAGACTGCCCATACGCTGCAAGCCGCCCATCTGGAGCCTGATTTGCATCGCACTGTCGCTTCAAGAGACATTGCCGTTGGTGACATCGTTCTCGTGCGCAAAGGAGAGGTTTTTCCGTGTGACCTCGTCCTCTTGCATTCCACTTTAGAAGGTGGTATTGCCTATGTGTCTACAGCAAACTTGGATGGTGAGTCCAATCTAAAGCGCGTCATCGTCCCCTCAGCTACCGCTGAAATCGAACATCCTTCTCAGCTTCCTGCCGTCAACGGCAAGATCAGAGCTCAAAGGCTTTCCACTGCTCTGCACGAGTTTGAAGCTTCCATTGAACTCAGCGGCGAGGGCCCCGTCCCGCTCGGCCCGTCTTCACTGCTGCTCAGAGGAAGTATCTTGAGAAACACCGAGTACATTTATGGTATTGCTGTGTACACTGGATTTGATACTAAAGTTGCACTAAACATGCGCAACCCCCCAAGAAAAATGGGTTCCGTTGAGCGCAAACTTAGCTGGGTCGTCCTTATGTTGTTTATTGCCCTCGCTACCCTCGTCATCACAGGCGCAATTGTCGATGAGCTTCTGGAAGACTCGGCGGAGGCGTTGACAATCGCGCTGCGTGTGGCCGGCGGCGCAAGGATTGCGCGTAGATTCAGCGGTAGGGACAAACGCAGGAGCGTGGATGATTTTACGACGGCAGAGATCGGATGCATTGACCTTTTGAGCGGACCCGAAGAGGGTGCTCAAAATTGACGGGCAGAGAGCTGTCGGGCGGAAACTGGGACACAAGGCTGGGGGTGATGGGGCTTAGCAGAAGCACGATGCTGATTCTAAACGCAGATTGAGACCCGCGTATAGGCATGTTTTTGTATCCACACTTGAGAAGAGGCACGTGACTGGAGGCGTTTGTAGAAGAGAAATTGTGCTCACCCACTTGTAAATTATGTCATTTCGCGATTGCACATGAACACCTTGTTCACTTCGCTCACGTACCGGTACAGCCGAGGTGCGCTGACCCACACGAGTGGCCCGTCGCCGCTTTCCCTTCTGCTCTGCGCTCCCGAAAGAAGTGTCTCATGCGCTCTGTGGCCTCGTCCTCCAACACGCCGCCGCGTACGTCTCGACACGTGTGAAACGGACGTTTCTTCTCATGCAAGGGTAGCCGCGTGCCGCACGCTCCAAGCCTCAAGTCTTTGGCGGCGTTAACGACGGCGTCGACTTTGGCGAGAGCGAGTGCGCTGAGACACAGAGGACACGGCTCCAGAGCCGAGTACAGAGTAGTGTGGTGCAGCCGTCAGTTGCTATCGGCGGCGGCAGCGTGGCGCACGCAGAGGATCTCGGCATGCGCAGTGGGTTCGTGCAGCGACTGGATGAGGTTGTGTGCCGCGGAAAGGACGGCCCCAGAACTGCACACCAGGACGGCGCCGACCGACACTTCGCCCGGACTATAAGCGCGGCACGCTTCCGCGAGCACGTCGCTCATGGGCTCGAGATGCGCCACTGTCGTGAAGCGAGTGCGTGGGGACGGGCGCAGGCGATGCAGGGGGACGACTTCAGGAAGGAGAGCATAACGACGGTTCGGGGGGATGAAGGGGTGCGAGTGAAGGTAGGGAGAAATGCAAATGTGGAGGGCCGGTGGGCTGGATTAGGGTTTTGTAAGGGCAGGATGGATGAATCAGATCTGTACAATTTTTGTACAGTAGTGGGACAGAAAATGACGGGATATGGTGGGAAGGTAGGGGATGATGTTTTGCGGTTCTTTTTGCTCAGTTTCTGAATAGATGGAACGAGGTTGTCCGGTTTCTAGATAGACAGAATGGCGTGCGTGAGCACGGGAGCGGAGTGCGTGGAGCGGGCGCCCAAGCCGCCTCCTCGCCTCAAACGTGATCGGGTGTGCGACCGCAACGTGTGCTGAGGAGCGTGCCGTCTCTGGGCATCTGACAGCGCGCAGAGCCTCTCCGCTCCGTACCGCGCGGCAGTTTTGCTGGACAAAGGAGCCCCCACGCGCCTCGTCACGGGTGTGTTACCAACAAGCGCCGGATCTCACGCATCTGTTGGCCGCCGCACCGTGTAACCCCGCCCCTCCGCTGCGTCTGTGCCACAGGAAAAGAAGCGCACATCAGGATTGCCGTCCCCGACCGTGCCCAATTGCCACGCACGCGCCCCATTTTGTAACAGACAATCCCGCCTCTCGCGCACACCATGCCCGGCACTCTGCCACCATGATGCAGCTGCGCTGCAGCCCTAGACACGCTCAGCCGCCGCACTGGAGGACGCCCCACTGGAAGGCGCTGAAGCTGCATTAGCCAAGGCGCCCGCCTGTGTACACCCCGTGCACGTCTTCCCACCGCCGTAATGGCAACCTGAAGGTCTTGACGCAATAACAGTGAGCCGTCGAGCGTCGTCCCCATGCCCAGCTGTGAGGTTGCCATTGAATCTCGTGCCCCGGCTTACTCGCTTCTAGATGCAGCACGCACCGAGGTGCAGCTCTTTTGCGACATCGCCTTGCCAAGCTGCACGCCTTCTTCGCGGCGGTCGCGACCATTTTGATATACTTCGTTTTCGCACTCGCCACTGCGCAGAGTACCGTTGAATAGTAAGCTCATCATCAAAAACCAGAAGCGAATTCATTTATCTAACCACAAGAATCATGTGCGCATCAATTTATTCGACATGCGTGAAAGCGTCTCACACATGTTCTCACTGTACTTGTACTAAATATCCTCGCTCCCTTCTGCGACCTCGGAGAGGGTTGTTCTACGACGCTTGGTTCTTAACCTGTCATCGGAGTTCAAACGTCTCTTTAGTTTCTTGACGTGCCTCTTTTTGGCAGCACGCCGTTCTTGTTTCACTTTTCTGAGCTCCTCAATTTGTTTATCAATCTCATCTGAGCTGGAAATAATTTCCTCTTCTTTTCCCTCTTCCCCGGAGTAATCCGAAGATTCACTGACTGCAGGATTCGTCTTCTTGTCCTTGGCGATCACAGGTTGTGTTGACGAGGGTTTGGATTTCGACATTATCTGCTTTTTGGCGCAGTCCCCAGTCATACGTCGTACGGTATCTCGCTCTCGGCGAACACCTGCCATTGTCGTTTTGCCTCTGTATGTATGGGCCCGTTGCAAACGACTCAGGTTGGACTTATGAGAACTATCTTTTTGAGCTCCCAAAATGTTCGGGTGACATAGTGGATTTCCTCTAACCTTCGCAGCCGCACGGATTGTTCCTCGAGTTCCTTTGCGTACGTGTGTCGAACGAATTTGACTGGATTCGTGGTTATTTGCGTCCATCCTTTCGGATACAGTCGGAGATGCCGGAGCGATCTTTGAGGACGTCTCTCGTACTGTGTATGCACTGAAACCGGTAGCAGCGTGGCTTGGTAACTGCGGTTGTTTCTTTCTCGTACGCAAATCATTTGCGAGAGAGTTGTCATCCTGATCCGCGACAAAATGCTCCGGTGAGTCCAATATATCTCGTGCTACTGAAATAGCTCCCTCTTTGTCAAAAGATTGTTCGTTCCGTTGCGGTTTCTGGTGTTGGGATGCCATTCTGCTATTATTATCAAATACTGTACGCCTACCATTTAGACTTTCCTTTTTCTCCTGCTTGTATAGATCTGCGTTTCGATCGCATTTTTGTGATCACGATCTTACGAATGGCAAACAAGCGCTGAGTCTGGGTCAGAGGATCGAACATGATCGACGGCTAGCTCGTGCACCAGAAGTTCAATGCGCTTCCCGTGCGCCAGGTGAGCTTCATTGTAAGTCATCTTCCCATACAAGTCACCGATACTTGAAACAGCTTTGTCATGGACGACTCGCATCAATGTTTCCGAAATCTCGTGTTCGACGAGATTCGAATCATACCACCGATATTGATTACTCGGATTCGTGGCGTTTGCCTCGTTGTGACTCTTGACGTATCTTCCAACCTTCTTGATCGTGTTGTAGTAATTACGAGTGTCTTTTCCTTTTCTTTCTGATTGACTGCGGCTGTCACTTTTTGTGTACGACCGTTTCGCAATGGATTCTGGGATGAGGGGAGGACGAACAGCATTAGGGTCATTCGGAAAAAGCCCTGCCGGTTTGAGAAGCTGGCGAAGCGTTTGGACGGAATGGTTCATTGCGCTACGTGAAGCTGGAAGAACGCTAATGGAATACAAGTGAGTGTGGTACTAGCTAAAACTCTCCAAACAGGAGGACCTATTTCGCTCGTCGTATACACTGACTACCTCCATCACAATTTCGAAGAGAAAGTGGCTTCTTTTTCGTTTCGGCTCCTTTTCCCGCGCAGCCACAGGCAGATAAACACTCACTGAGACTCACCAGGTATAGTATGTACAATCTAACTCGCATTTCATTGCGATAGATGTTCTGCAAGCGTTTCAGATCTCTACATTGATCCTCAAAATCAGTCTGACTCGATTCGCCTCTACAAATCTAGATTGACATGAGTTCTCGGCCGAAGAGATTCATGTGCCTAGCCCACTACAGATGTGCGTGCACTCTACCCGGAAAGCCTGTTTCAGAATCTACCATGAAGGCACACCGGAACCGCGCAAATCAGAGAAGGGCATTATTAAATCTCGCTAATCTCCCGAGAGGGCCCCGCTACTCTGAACGAGATGCAGCCGAGCAGTTCAGAGAGTTCATGAATCTTTCCAGCACAGAACGATTGGTTGGGTCCTCATCTTACCGGCTTCCGTGGCCTGATCCAAGTTTTACCAACCCTACTACTGCCCCCCACACAGAAAACGAGGAGCTTGATAGATCGCATGTTTCTCGAGGCCACCAACGGGCCGTTTCACAGTCATTATCGAGGTTCGAGGAAGATGGGGAGGGTATAGACAGCGACATGCAACCTCCAGATTTCGACAACACCCCCTCAGAAAGCGACGAATTTCAATCTGTCAGTGAATACGACTGCCACGGAGGAGAAGATTCAGACGAATTTTGTGTGTATGAAGAAGAGGGCGAGGAAGGGCATTTTGGAAATGTTAATGTTGTTATTCATGCCGATGCTGAAGTAAGATTTAGTGAATGGATGGGGCCCGAGCGTAAGTGGATTGAACTATTTATGCGATTCGGTGTCAAGTTGACTGTCATGGAGGCAATATTGCGGCTCCTCAGAGCACCCTTTAAGGCAACGCAAATACGACGTAACCTCGAAAAGTACACGCAGTTCTACCGCATTCGGTACATTTCATGCCGAGGTCACAGACTGCTAGAGAAAGAATCAAATATCCTACAATGCGAGAGCATGGTGGCCTGCGGGTTGCGTTGTGAGATATGCGTGTCATCCAGAGAACCGGATTTAATTACTTTCCAATATCTTCCTCTAGAGCCGAGACTGCGTGCCTGGGTTGCTGAAGAAAAGAGTTGCAGAACATTGTTTGAATATTGTCAAACTCAGTCAAATGAATCTGTTGTTCGTAGGGAAACTGGAAAAAATGGTCTATACTACGAAGATATTTTTGACGGCTCTCTTTTTACGAGAATTCTTCACAAGAACGGGGGAATCGAGGCTTCGAAATACGATGTCTTCATTGCTCCGAGTTGTGACGGTTTTGCGCCTTATCAAAAAGGACAGTACATCTGTTGGCCGATTGTAGCACTGAATCATAATCTACCTCCCAGTAAGCGATTCATCATGAAGAACACAATACCGCTGGGTTTTGTTCAAGGTCCGTCAGAACCAAAGCAGATACATACTTGGTTCACACCTCTCAAAGAGGAAGTCGATCGCATAAACGATAGCGGTGGTTCAATGATGCGATTCTTCGACGGCATAGAGAGACGAGTTCGAGTGCACGTCATTTTCTGCACTGGAGACGAGCCTGCTGTAACTAAAATGGCAGGTCTGAGAGGCCACAACAGCAAGGTGCCCTGCCGGTACTGTGAAATCCGGGGTGGTTGGTCTCCGTTCCACTCCCATGTCTACTTTCCAACTCGCTGCGAGGTGATTGCAAGCTCTGCAAACGCTCAGAAAGGTCTTCAAATCTCTTCATGCGATGAACCCACCAAGTTGAGGGATATTTACGATCCCAGTGATCCCCTTATGCGAACCGAAGACGAGATTGAGATTGTTCTGCTGGATCTTGACGATGATTCTCCGTTGTCAACGAACGAAAAGGAGAGACTATCTTGTGATTCTGGGCTCAAAAAAGGACTGTACCGCTCACAATTCGTTCAATTGTAGCGTACATATCGTTCCCACCTGATATCATGCACAAAATCATGAACATCTGCCAAGATCTTATTTCAATTTTCAAAGAAAATTGTATCCATCTTGCATCCGACATTCTTGACGGCAAAGACAAATTTGTTTTGTCATCAACTCAATGGAGGATGTTCGATAAAGAAATGGACTCCATAAAGAACGGAACATCAGCTTCCGTATTTCCAGATGTTCCGAGGAACTGTAAGTACAGGGCGCATTGGAAAGCTGCTGAATGCTTGGAATTCATCACCAATTACGCCTTGATCG